GTTCACGAAGTCCTGAAGCATACTTGTTTAGCTTCGCAGCTTCTCCCCCCTTCTCACCGTTTCTCTTTCCACTCCGGTGTGAGCGGGTGGAGGCCACGAGGGGGTGCTGCAGCAGCACCTGGGACCGCAGATGGGGCACGACGCCCCAGCGGTTGCTGGTGAGCTTGTGAACAGGTCTGGTCGTGCTTTAGCAGCACACCTTGAAGCACGAGGAGCTGCCGCTGAGCAGCAGAGCTCGTGAGAAATATCGCGCGCCTAAGCAGGAGCTGCTGTGTTGCTGGCCTCGCGGTGTCACAGGTGGTGGTAGCTTGGGACTGAAGCTCTTGTGTAAGAGTAATGCAGAATAAATGGCTGTCTCCATGTGCCTGGAGCCTTTCCCTGAGGTTTCTTGGGATGAGAAGTGGGGCTGGGGTTCAGGGTGGCGGTGTGCAAAGAAGCTCCTGGCAGCTTCCCGCAGCACGTCTCGGCCTTGCTGAGTTTGTCTGTGCGCGGTGCCCCAGGACTGGAGCCGCTCTGGCAGACCCGAGCGACGCCTGCCTGGAAAGGGCCCTGGCAGGCAGAGGCAGGTCTGGGCACGGCGGTGTGGGAAGCTCTGTGTGGTGTGCGGTGCCGGAGAGCTGAGCAGGCTGGGCGTTTGCCTTCCTGCAGCAGGTCGGAGCGAGAGGTCGCAGAGGGCCAAGCGTGTGTCTTGGCGTGCTGCCAATAAGCAAGTGAGTGCGGGCAGGGAGTGGCTGTGCTGCTGGAGCGGTGCTGGGCGGTGGCCTTGGGAGATGCCCGAGCACGTCTCGGGCAGTGAGCACCGCCTTGCACGCTGGTTTGTGTGAGCTGGCTGTGGCTCCGTGTATGACCTTACGTTGGTCCTCACCACGGCGGGCCTCGGGCACGTCCTCGGCACAGCCCGGTGGATGGATGGTCACAGGCTGGAACAGGGAGGAGTAAGGCAGCTTGCGCGGAAGCTTCAGCACGACGGGACCCGAGAGCACGAGAGCTGCTTTAGGGCTTTGGCTTGGCTGCGTGGTGTTTCTGACAAAAGAAGCGTTGAGGTGCGTTTCCCCAGAGGTCTTGCTCCACGTGACTGCTGTCTTGAGGCGCCTGGCGGAAAGCCAGTTCCCGCAGCCTTGTGTTGTGCAGGTGCTGGTTTCCAGAGCTGCTCCATCCCATGAGCCCAGTGCTGAGCTGCTGCATCATGGCAGAAACAGTGAGCGAGGCAGCACAACAGTCACACAGGGCAGCCTCCTGTTTGCTTGGCTACAAAGAAGTGCCTGTGCCTGAAGTGGGCAGGGGGGAGCACTGGGCTGGGAGCTGCCAGTGGTTGTGGGGTGGTTTTTGCATGGAAGGAAAAGTGCCAGCCACGGGAGGGGGTTTAAGAGCAAGCTGGTGTCTGTGGCGCAGCCCTGCTAGCATGGGCATGTAGACCTGGTGGGATTGTGCCGTGGCCTGGGCCCGTCTCCTTTCCCTCAGACAAACTGTATTCCTGGGGAAGCAGCTGGTATGGCTGGACCCACAGAAATCTGGCAGTGCCCCTGTCACTGTGGTATCTGCAAAGACCCCCCCCCAGCATCCCTGTGTGATTCTCCAGATCCACCTCCAACTCCATGTGTGCATTAACCATCACTGGGGTCCAAGGTGAGGACGAAGCTTTCCATTACTGTGGTGGCTATGACAGCAGCAGGGATGCTGTTGTGGGGACACTGAGTACTGGGGAAGTAAGCTGCAAACGTGTAAGTTGAAGAGGAAAGTTTTCGGCCCTTCTGCCTTGTGATCAAGCAGGGCCGTGGGTGTGGGGTGTGTGCTGGTTCCTGCCTCCTCCGCACGGCTATATCGGAACGTCTTGCCTTTCCAGTCCTGGTGCTCTGGGAGGTGACTCTGTGGCTGGTCCCATCTTGTCCCTGTCCCCACTGAAGGCTCAGGTGCCCTGACCACACTCTGTGTCCCCAGCTGGGGCCTGCAGACATGGGGCCCTGTCCTCTGCTGCTGCCTGGAGAGGCTTTGCTGCTCTGGCACTCACCATTTTCTGCCCTCTACCACTCCAGGTTCCCTTGGTGACCCCTGTTGGGACCATTGCTCTGTCCTGCAGCCTGGCCACAAGGTGGTCACCCCCAGTGACTGCCCAGACTAGATTGAGCAGAAGTGTGGCTCTGTCCGAAAAAATGTGATCTGCAGTACCTGTGGTGTCGAGCCAGTGGTGAGCGCGGGGCAGACTTGCATGGAGGGGCCGTGCCGCAGGCAGGCGGGGGTTTAAGAGGGGTCAGGGGTCTGCAGCACAGCCCCGTCTGCGTGGGGACGCAGAGCTGGTGGGATCGCGCCATGGCCTGGGTCCCTCTCCTCCTTGCAGTGCTCGCCCACGGCTCAGGTGCCCTGGCTGGACTGGGTGTCCCTGGCCAGGGCCTGCGGGCAGAGGGGCTGCATTGCATTCAGCTGCCTGCCTGGGGGGGTGGGTGGGGGGGGGGCCTTTGCTGGTCTGATGCTTGCTGACCTGCCGCTTTCTGGCCTCTCTCCTCTCCCTCTGCAGGTTCCCTGGTCCAGGCAGCAGTGACTCAACAGCCGGCCTAGCTGTCCGTGTC